TTCTGTGGAGTTTTTATACTTAACCCTCCGAGCACATAGTCTTTCATAGTTGCTTCTAGTCCTACCTGACGACATGTAAGGAGAGAGTTGTGTATAGAGAGGATTCTCAGGGTTCGACAAGGTAATATTCGGTAATTTCTTCTATGTGTCCATCTACAACAGTATTAACAAGTTTGTTTAGCGGCATTCTGCTAGCCCTAATGACAGCTTTTAGTGCTGTTCGTAGTGTAATAAAGTTTTTCTTAAGTATCCCAGGAAAGATCAAGGCGTGGGTGGGGAGGAATAAAGAAGAATAGGTAGAATAGAAGAATTGACAAACTTTAAAAGTAGATATTGACTGAGTGATACCAGATTGCTTTAGCTTTCTTACGTAGAACGAAGGTTAAACGAAATATCTTTCTTGAAACTAAAATGATGTGCAAAGACTAGGAAAGATCGGATGAAATATACGATCCGAGGGTGTTTAACACTTGATTTAGTTTCAACTTAACTGCCGTCCATGACAGTAGAATCGAGTGAACGAAGCAGTTCATGTAAGTCGCGCTTGCGTCTGAAAGTAAAATTACCAACCTGACATTTTGTGGGATTTGGCTTCAGATCATTTCACGAGGACCACTGACTAATTTCTAATAAAACGTTATTGATTTCAGAATAATCTGATTGAAGAGTAAACGGCATGGAAACAGATCATCGGCACAGTTCATGAAATTAGCTTCATCAGAATCACAAGTAAGTCATGTAACAAAGGAAGAAAATAATATCTGTGTAGATTTCGCCAAGAAACAACAACATCAGCAGGAGAATCACCAGCTATTTTGTCTAAAGTTTGGTAGTCTTTGACAGTGGGTACCTATGATCCCACCAGGAGTCGTATCCATGATATTCGAGTTATGAGACCGGCGCGCTGACTATTCAACCAACTGGTCTGTGAATTTCGATTTTTGTCAATTTGGGATAAACCGCTACCGGTAACTAATGCCAGAGAAGAACATCAGCTTCACGTCACCATGATGGTCTTGAGTTCGATGTCTGATGGAGTCATGGGTATACCCATGGCCAAAGAGTTCCCAACTACAACAAAACAGTTACCCAGTACTCCTTGGTTTTCAATGGGTTTTTTTAAAACTGATATTGTGTCAGGAGGACATCTACACTGGAATTAATCCAAGTGTCTACAAATCCAAAAGATATCTGAATAAATTAATATCTCCATGATTTGTAAGATTTTATTCCTTTTTGGAAAATTTTATATCAATTTCGCAGTAATTCTGCATTTATAGCATCCACTTTTTATGCATATCATAAATCAATAGCTAAGTGAACAATCGTCAACAACGTTTGACTCTGAACCTCAACAGAAAGTAACCATTTGCAAGAATTTCAATAGAATAAATTGTTGAGTTTCGAATAGAATGAAATATCCATTTTTTTTCCTTCACGTTCCTCAGTGGAACATAGGGCTTCAAGCTAGAGGCTTGAAGTTTCTGTAGCAGTGTTTATTTTTACAGGATGAGGTTGCTAGCCTTATGCCCATCCTTTCCTCTTCACCAACATTATTTCTGGCATAGCGACGTAAAGGAGTGCGTCGGCCGGGGATAGAACCCTGGACCATGTGCATGGTCAGCCAGCGTCCTAACCGCTATACCACTGACGCACAAATATCCATTTTAATTTAGATGTAAAACTGAGTAGCAAGAGAATTTGAACCCCGAATCCGGGGATCATTATCTTGATTGTGACTTTTCATCTGTTTCCCCCTTCAGTTACTACACATACTGTCAGTATGAACAGTTAGAAACCCCTTACGTCAACTGGTAGTGCTTGCTACATAAATCTACCTATGTGTCAAGCTGGTCACATATTGTAATCTGAAAAACCATGGTAAGATTTCATCTTGATCTGTGTGTAATCTGCAAACGACGACGCATTTCGAAATTAGAACACGATTTAAGCAGGGAAATGCGTATTTTCGGAGAAATCGCATCAGGCTTCACAATTACATGAAAAAACATCAGTCACAGACATTTGAAAAACAGTGTGGATCAATAGATTCAAATATAATCGAGGAGAAAGTGAGTAGGACAATAACTACCGGGACAACTATTCTAAGTCGGGGTTGAAGTCCATGGGAAGGAGAGGGATTGAACAAACCTTTTCTGAACACAAAGACTGCGCTGGAAAAAAACTGTATAGCTACTGACTCAGCTATTCTTAACAACCGAAGGTGTGCAGACTTAGGGAATTGAGGTGGTACCACATTGTATAAAATTGTAAAGCCTGAATTGTCTCATTAAATCTCGTCATGCGTATTCACAAGCTGTGCCAGCCAATATGAAACTCCTAACTGACTTTACGACTACTTTAACTAACCACGTTGGACAGTGCTCAAAAAGACGATGGTGGGCTTTCCAAGTCGTTCTGCTGATGTAACTGTCTCCAAAAGAACAGTTAAATTTATAAATGCACACACTGAGGTAGCTATATTCGGCATGCAGACATTACCGAATTTCTCTGGATATCTGCCGTCATATAATACTTTTTCTCTATTTTCTTTAATTCATCGCCTAGGGTTTCGATTGTGCAGATTTTTCTTAGCACGAAATATCAGGGTACTGATGAGATTTTGTTTGTATACAAGAGTCGGTGGCATAGCGGTTAGGACGCTCGCCGACCATACACATGGTCCGGGGTTCGATCCCCGGCCGGTGCACTCCTTTACCTCACTAAGCCATAAATAATGCTGGTGAAGAGGAAAGGTTGGGCATGAGGTTAGCAAACCCATCCTGTAAAATAAACATTGCTACAGAAACTTCAAGCCACTAGCTTGAAGCCCTATGTTTCACTGAGGAACGTGAAGGAAAAAAAACAAGAGGAACAAACGATTTGAAATGGCCAACCCCTGATTTTTTCCCATAGTCTTTAATTACACTGTTCAGAGAAGTGATCTGACTAATTGACTGGCTAGTTTATCCAATAAGAAATATATATGCCATATAGATTAATGTCGAAACTAAAGATATCCAACATATTGACAGACCTTTCAAATGCTTCCAACTCAACTTGAACTAGAATTTAGACACAATGATTTAAAGGTATTTAAAAAATCTGCCAACATACGAGAAACCTTTAGTCAACACCTACAATGTTGTAACATAAATAAATCCTTTTGAGAAATATTGGTGATACAAAAAAGAAACACTCAAGTGAGTTTTGTCTGGTGTCCTTCTACGTAGTATGATTCCTACAGATGAAAGAGTTCATCAGTAACTAAAAATGATCAAGTGGAGGGGCATTGATGGCAGAGTAATAATTATGCTCTGTGAATTAATTGCTTGAAGATAGGCGGCCTAGAAGAGGACAAAGAGTAAAGAAAGCAGCACTATTAACAGTCAATTATCACACAGCCAGTGACTCTTATTGTTTCCCTAAAAGCCAAAGGAGGCACTGAGAAATTATGGCTGTGATAGTCTAAGAAACTGAAATATATGTCCAACAATCCTTGTTAAACAATGGAGCTAGGAATTATTCTGATAAATATTCATTTCAAATAAACTGAGTACAAGGCAGGTATCCATCTGAATATACAATACATATACAATACCATTGACGGCAAATACAAGTTAACAGTTACATTCAGGTTTTTATGCTAGGTTATAAACTAAACTCATAGATAGGGAGGTGGTACCTGACTGGTCAGACTTCACAGAGTACAGTAGCATTCTACACGCTGTACAATAGACTAAAAGATGAGTACCTAAACCAAAAAGACACACCAATGTTAAACAATACACCATGTACACCAAAATGAGAGAAGAAGAAAACGAAAGAAAAAGAATTTCAACAAGTGAATTCAAGAAGCCCTCAGTAGATTTAGGAAAGTTTAAAAGGAAGATTCAAGAAAACCATTCCATACTACTCATTGGTGTCGATTTAAATGCACATCTGACAAATTCTCCAGACACTCCATTACAAACTCTTCTATACCTCAACCAGAAATCTACTCTGTGGAATGTATCAGTATGCAAGAAATTGACACGACTATTCTGTATCGCAAAGCTCCACGCGTCACAGGTTGACCAGCTTTACACTTGCAATAGGTAAGTAAACACTAAACTCCACGGAAGCTCATATAACAGTCAATGGATAAGCTACGAAATCCGGTGTCTTGAGACGGTTAAGCTTCTTTTGTGACGATATTCATAATATTCCTATATGCAGTTTCAGGTGTTCGAATTATGCATATAGTTCCTCAAGTTTGGTCACGGATTGATATCACTTAGAGAACCACTGAAAACCAGGTAGTACTGGACAACCGTTTCGTCCTAGTTTAGGATTCATCGACAGTACGCACTCACCACAGGGGTTCGAACCCAGGACCTTCCGATTACAAGTCAACACATAGACATTCAGCCACTGGGACCCGATCCAATGGCCCATGAAAGTCCTGCGTTCGAACCCCGATGGGTGCGCACTGATGAAGAGTTCCAAACTGGGATGAAACAGCTATCCAGTACTCTCAGGTTTTCCGATGGTTCTCTAACCGACGTCAGCTCATGATGAAATCCTGTAGAGAAAATGTCCTTCGTTGAATCGTCTTTTATTTTCTTCATGACAGACTTCCACCAAATGTATTACGGATCAACGTCTACTTTTAACTAGGATAATACGTGCAGTTGACATCTGTGTCTCTAAGCTTTTAGAAGGAGTTACGCTAATATGAACCCGAGTTATATTACTCATTAGTCCAGCTGTAATCCCAGTAAGTGGTGCGATGCTGTTCAATTCAGTTGAAAAGTCTGAAATAAAAAGAAACACTCGTCCTAGATTCCACCATTATTACCTACTATCGACCGAACAACATCAAATTAACTCTGTCGAAGAGTCAGTACTGGAAGTCAACATGTCATCAGAAACCGAGTTGAATAAGTCAATTAAAAATTAAAACAAATACATATTCAAGCAATGAAGAAATACAAAAGAATAATAGAGAACTCGCTTACTTTTGACTGAAGTTCTGTTGAATAGTGATCACCAAAGCCAACAGTAACAGTATAAACATTTTGTTCAGATTCTGTTTGAACACTTGCCTCTGAAAAACTACGTGTTACAACTTCTGTACGATTTGAAGATAACTGTGATGATTGACCAGCAGACGGATACCAATAAGACCTGAGTAGTGATAATAGGCTGGGTGGTTTACGCAAATTTATTGCAACCTAAGATACAACACAAGAAGGTAGAAAAGAATGTGACATAATGAGATTTTACATAAGTACGGTATGAAATTTATAACAAAATAGTTGGAAAAAAAAGACTGCAGACATTCACTGTTTGATATGTTTAGATAAATGTGAAAACACGGACACTTTACTGCTCCGTAATTTGCAGTTTCAGTAGTGATGGGGTAGCTAGCTCCCACGGTCAACATCCCCTCTTTTCCCGACTTAGGACTGGCTAGATAACTATGTCTTCGTTAGGCCGGCAAAGAGGGAAGGTTGGGCGTGAGGCTAGCAACCCCATTTCGTAAAATAAAACCACTGCTACCGAAACTTCAAAACTCTAGCTTGAAGTTCTATGTTCCACTCGGAACGTAAAGGTATAAAATAGTAAATAATCAAAATAAAAATAAAATCTTCCATCATATGTAGATGTAAACTGTTGAAAAGTAACGATTTACAACGAAACGATTTTTCATTACCTACGGTAACTTAACTGATGTTAATTAAAACCTTCATAAAATTCTTCTTCCCATTAATTAACTTGAACAGAGAAAGAACGATAAGTGTGTACCAGCATAATATAAGCTCAAATCTCTTATTATTTAGAGGATTTTTCTCAACTAGCTACATGCAGTCTGAACAATAGCAGAAACACACATACAATAACTGACTGACTGGTTTCAACATAGAACTTTGCAGCAGTTCGAGTCGCCAAACCATGTAGCACACAAAGCACACAAAACCGAAAGCTGCTACCTTGACGTGGTGGTTGGGCTTGCACATCGCAATGACCCAACAAGCTACACTGGCTGAAACTATTGTTCCTGCAGGTCCTACCATGCCAGGAAGGTTGTTAGGATAGCGATTAGACTAAAAGCAGTTACCGGCATAGTGTAAGAATTTTTTTACACTATGCTGGGGGTCTGTGGGCGAAGTCGTACTGCTGAGGGATGTGACAGCAGTAAGGTGTTTCCCTCAGATGACCAGCATGCCAGCTATGCTGTCTCTCCACTCCGGAGAGAGGGGGTTAGAAAAGGTCGACCCCGAAAATTGTACATCCCGACTTACCCTACAGTGGTTCGTAACCGGCGGTAAGTTTACTAATACGGAACCAAACAAGAAACCAGTTCATACAGGCTGGGTGTGACCGGCCACCATCAAGCAGTTGTCCCCTGGGCTCTGCGGTCACGCAACACTAACCCTCTTTCTGTTTCAGGTACCCGAAGATTCAATCAACTTCCGCGGTGTGGGCAGCCGGGAAGTAACAACCGCCCACACACTTCCAAGAACACACGAAGCCTTCCCAAGCATCATTCTCCTTTACCCATATACATACAATAAAGATTCGAACAGACTTCTTTTTATCACAGTGACAAGGAGTAATTAATGATAGGAACTAAGAATAACATAAATCTGGAATGATGTAAGTTGATAAATCATCAAGAGTTAAAAAGGATTGACTATTCATAGAATAATTAGAACAATACTCTTGGGGTTAAAGTTTAAAATGTTTGGGTAGATAGAGTAGAACAATATAATAGGTTACGTATCTACAGAAAATGTTCTTGGAAAATAGAGAGAAATATGGTAGGGTGAGTAATGTTCACATGAAACAATAAAATTTTCAACACAGGACAGAAGAGAGCAGAACACATGACGTAATACAATTTTATACTTTGTAATTTAAGTTTATTCACCAAGGTAGTGCAAGATTCACTGCTGTCTCTTTCTCAGTACATAGTGTCGGTTTAAATCGTTTGATGGAGATTGTCTCAGTCAAACATATCAAACTCGGTGACCTTTGCCTGTTGTGTATTTTGTCCAGATTGTCCACAATATGAACACTGTCCAGTAGATGGCGCCTGTGAGCCCTTTACTGTCAGGTACTTTGGTAGGTGTTCACAAATGCGGATAATAACACTCCTCTCTGTTCTTTCAATATATATGCTTTGGTACGTACATTTAACTTGGTAGACACAGCTGGAGGTAACATGATGTGCGAGTTTGTCCTCTTTTGATTGTCTTACGCAACTGGTCGTTTGATAAACATTCATGTTCTTTTCAGAACAGGATTCAGTCTGCATCTTATTCTACTAGCAATATCACCACCTTTGAAGGCAAGCTGTAGAAAGATGAACTTTTCTCTGCTGTGCTACAATTCACTTTCTTAACACTACCTTCCCCGTGTTTGTGGATGAACTTATGTGAGTAACTATTATTACACAGGCATTTTTTCATAATGGATTAATCTTCCTCGACCTTTTCTTCTGAGCAAAGTTTCCTCAAACGATCAAACAATGCTCTAACCAAGCCCTTTTTGTAAGTGATACGGCAAACGCTTTTGAAGTTCAGATAAATAGCCCTCCAAGTCTCTTTTCTGTGGCTGTACCTTACCATTTCACCACCTTCTATATCACGTTGGATACCAAGGTGAAGAAAATAAAACTTGTCCTCATTTTCACCATAAAACATGAGCTCATACTATCTTGGTACATTTGTCTTTCTTGCTTGAGTGTTGATTAACCTCAACCGCAGAAGGATACTTGAAAAAAAAATAGAATTTTGGTATTTTCTCGCAAGTAATTACCAATAAAGAAGTATATCCAAATTGAATAGAAAGCGGTCACATACATATGAAAACACAAGAACATAAATGAATATTCAAGAAACCGTTCATATGTTGTTCACAATGAAGCAATTTCTCCCAAAGGTGTTTTATGAACATTTATTATAAGCAAAGAAAAACTACTACTACTACTACTTTAGGATGAGAAAATCTCACGGTTTTATTGAAAAAATTTCACACTACTTTAGTTATGCCAAAAAAACAAAAAAATTAGTTAAAAGAACTGTTAATTGGCAAACTTTAGACAGATTTTCAATAGCTAATTTACACGACCTAACCGATAGATAGGCAGAGACTATCAGCGATTCACTTGAATCAACTTAAATATTTAACCAACATGACAATGTCCCCCCCTATAAATGACCATTTGCAATGAAGGTTGGGTAGACTACGGCTTTCCCTTCGAAACGCCTCCACCAAGTAAGTCCTATTCACTGCCTTCATACGGCAATGGGTATTCTCACAAGTGAAAAGACAAGTACAAATATTCAGTGCTTATTTATCTCCGAACTGGAGGACTTAGAATTCCACCTAGGGGGAGTTGGAAAAGGCTGATTTCAAATCTACAGAGTACATGGGCTCCAGAATCCAGAAGGAAATAATGCGGTATGCACGTGTTTCGGTCACTGGAAACCATGGGGATGCAGCTCTTGACTCTGCTTTGTTAGTTTATGAATCAGGCGTCAAGTCAAAGTCTCGAGGAGTGTGGTCCGTTAAAGCAACCAACTAATTCGGTTTGGCGTCCGCGCAAAATTTCTAAGCCCACATTTAATGTGATGCACCACTTGGTGCCTAGATTGTTCCAAGTCCGTTTAGACAATAATTAATTGGTTGGTGATTACATATTAGTTTGTTTATTAGATGTATCACACAGTGAAACAGTATTATTTACTGGATGACGCAGTTTCAAACACAATTTATTGTTCATAATCATATCAATTATAATCACACGACTTTGAAACTTGAGTTTTATAGTTTCCTTTGTCTTCTCCTATTTGTCGTAGAGGTAGTAGAATTTTCCAGATTTCTGAGATAGGTGTTGAATCATCCCTATTGTACGTGTTTGCAGTTGATTCGATAAACAAAGCTTCTGTTATCAATCTCTCCCTATACCCTGTGACATTAGATTTTAAAACTGTCATCTTATCCCATCCATCCTATTGTATGATTGTGAGTAATTGCATGTAGTGAGTGGTATAGGTGAACTATTCTCTAAATTTCTTATCTTACTTGGGTCATAGTAGTAGAACAGGGCAGTGAGAGGAACCCGAATAGGATCCGAGGGTGACATGGAGGAGATGAGAGACTATGGGCAATCGTGGGACTACCTAAAAAGGACCGCAGAGAATAGATCAAAGTGGAGACGTGCTGTTGAAGCTCCCCATCCATGTTCCACTTAGAACCCAAGAAAACAATGTGTGTATTTACCAGTTTGACTGCAACTGCGGAGCCAGCTACATTAGGCGTACAATTAGGCAGGTTCATCATCGTATTTCCGAACATCATCCTGCATGGTTAAGCAAGGGACAAACAAGATCTATTCGTAGCTCTGTTTCAGCACACCTTGTAGATAGTGAGCATAAGGACGTAATAACGCATTAATTATTTATCGCATTCCTACTAATCTTAATTTTGCTCTACGAGTTCGTCTTCTACAGACAGCTGAAGCAATAGGAATCCACCTGAAGAAGCCAAACCTGTGTGTTCAGAAGAAATTTGTACAGCCACTTTCCTTACCTTAGCCATCGTTACATGAATGTGTAAACCGGACTACTTCGCCCCCCTCCCCCTAAACCTTTAAAAACTATAAAAATTATAATTGTCCAATTATTTTATTTTATTTTGACCACTTCATCTTTAATTACGTGTTATCCTTGTAAAATTAATTTGTTCTAACCATTTCTACCTTTTAAATGTGTATTGATTTTCTTCGTTTATTATCAACCCATTGACATTTTGACACTGTTTAATTATTGTTAACAAACATATCGCCACTTGTTTGGTAAATTGTTGTGTATTGTAATAAAAATGCTATGGATATATATTAGAGTAGAGCCAGAGTGAGATGAGGATCTAATTGAAAAGTAAATATTTTTTCGCTCAATCTTTCTGTTTTCTAAATGTCTAAATGGGGATTTTTTCTATACTGAAACAATAATAATAATAATTACATATACAACATATATATATATTTAAAAACGTCATACTTCATGCCATGATTCCAAGCTGGGCAGATTGTGTTCCTCCACTTCTTCAGCAAATTGAATTGCAGTAAGACGAAAATTTTGTTCCAATAAGTATTCATTAATTAAAAATGACAATGCACGTAATTCATGAGGCAGTGTCTTCTGTGTACCACTATTGAAGTTATGCCAAAGATGTGTGCCCAAAGTAGAATCTAATTTTTTTTTTGAAAAACCAACAACAACAACAACGACATATAAGCACCATTGAATATTGATTGTTTGTTTGTTTGTTTGTTTCAATCACGCATTAAACAAACATTTCAAGAATTGATTTATCCTCAGTTTAAATTAAAAATCTATAACAACAGAAAGTTTTTTTATATATATTACAGATTATTGAGAAGTATGAATAACACAATTAGCAAAAACTTGCATGCACTTAAGCATACAATGAAAACCGCCCTACATTATACATTATAATTTAATTTATGCATTTTATTCTGTTGGTTAATCTTCACAGGAATAGAAAAACATTAGTACAACTGTCAACTGACTCATCTATTTTAAATATTATTCTACTCCTAAATTTTGTGTTTATTGGCACTCATCAGCACGGCGTATTTGTAACCTCTACAACCAGTGTCATCAAACCACTTACTTAACATCCATTGAAGCTGCACCGAGATGATGGCGAGTTAACTTGCTCAGTGAACATATACCGCAAAGATGACAGCGACAATGCTCAAGACTGAACGAATGACATCGGTTACCCCAAGTGATAATTATAACCCAACTTATCATCACTTTATTTTGTGAATGGTGACTAGCAGTGGAATCCAGGATGCGCATTTCGTCCTATCTGGGACTCGTCATCTGGATGCACCTGCATTTCCCAGTGAGTGATGATGTTCCCACCGAGGCTCGAACCCAGTGCCCTTAGTTTCAAACGCCAAACCGTTATCCACTAGACCACTTGGGCCACGAGAGCCACCTCTTTTGCAACGGGTCATATTAATTTAATTGGCACTGGGTTCGAGCCTCGGTGGTAACATCATCACTCACTGGGAAATGCAGGTGCATCCAGATGACGAGTCCCAAATAGGACGAAATGCGCATCCTGGATTCCACTGCTAGTCATCATCCACAAATTAAATTCTAATTAAATGCCCAGACATCGTCGAAGCATCTGAACAAGAAGCTGACATGTCAACCTGAGACCGAGCACTTCAGCCCAATCAATCGACGGGAAAATCTCAAATTCAATTAAATTATCATCACTTTGACTGATATCGCGTTCTGTGGTGTTAAGACAGGATAAAACAGTGTGAGTGTAAACCTTATTGATGAGTAGGTGATTTAGAAATACTACTCAGCGACTGTCTACAATTTCATACGGTTGGGAACGAGTTACACATCATATTATGTGAGGGCTAATGACAATACCTGACTGTCTAAACCATTTGTAGGTGGAGTGGGATTCAAACCATCCGTGATCCCATGGTTGGTAATCAAGCACCTACAAGACCAGTCAGTTATATCCACAGAGAAGTAACCGAAAGGAAACAAATATCTCTTAGTTTAGTTTATTGTTCTGTAAGCGAAATATTTTTCTAAATACTTACGACTGTACCTCACATAATTAATTCAAAAGACTGATTAATGAACAGAAAGTGTTCTTTTCGATAAATTCGTCATCAGTATAAAACTTGGGGACTGTGGTAGAGTATAACTCCATTTTATTTTGATAAATCACACAGTGTTGTACAGTAATATTTACTGATGACGACGTTTCGAGCACAAATTATTGCTCATAATCATATCAAGTCACTCACACAACTTTCTTCCTTCATTTATATACATGAGTGAAATTGATTAGATATTGGAATAAAATTCAATATAAGATAATGTACATTCAGAATAATAATATGAGTGTTATTGATCAAATAAAATCAGATGGGAAATAAGACGAGTGTTTTTATAGTCAAAATAAGTAACTTGTTAGAATGTTATGATGTACGTGAATTGAAATAGAATTTTAAGGGCATTTATTATCCTCCTCTGATTTGACTGGTAATAATATCTTGCATATCTCTGGTATTTGCATTGAGTCATTTCTTTTGCATGTGTTGGGTGTAGACTCAATGAACCAGAATTCAGTAATCTCCACCCACCTATATTACTCTCTTTAGAATTTTGACTTTAACCCACCCTATTGCGTGGTTTTGTGTTAATGCATGTAGTGCAATCGCTGAGCTTTTTTCTAAATTACTTATCTTCTCGGGGTCAACCATTCTTAGCTAAATTCCGACAATCTGACTACCCCAGACCTACTAGTTTGTCCTATATAGTTGACCTCACAGTCATTGCAAGGTATTTTGTAAATTATATTATTTTGTTTAATTGGATCCACCGGGTCCTTTAGCCCACAGAGCTTGTCCCTGAGTGAGTTTGTAGGTTTGAATGAAGAAATCGCCAACAGGTTTTACACTTATATGACAGTAATAATTACAGAAATATTGTTATTAACAAAATTAGTGCTGTTTTAAATTATATTCAATCAATAGTATCGATAGGTGACTCCAGTTCAAAAGTATCAGTAAGAGAGAGAGAGAGACTAATATGCAGTAATATAACAACACTAAACTGATTGAATACCAGATAAATCAAATGAAGTAACACAGAATTAAAGAAATGATAGGTTCGACAGTAGGCCAAGGGTAGCAGTGACGGCCGGACTTGCTTCTTTTGCATGCAGAGCTCCGGTCGACTTAAGCGGATAGCAATGGCTTCTTCTGTTAGAAGTGTTCGCTATCTAGAGAAATTTAGTAATTTATTCGACACCCAACAGATGATAGACAAAGATTCTTCAGTGTTAGCTTTGTGACCTTTTTGGACCAGGTGATCCAACAGCATAGAAACTGTTAATGATTCCTAGGGCAACAGCCAAAATAACTGACTACTTTAGTGAGATGATTTCATAATTTAAGATCCTGTTAGAGGATAGATGATGTATATAGAATGATGAGTAAGTGAGCACAGCTTAAGAATTCCAATCTAGGATGACATGCTCCTTGATTTTCATTGATCCTGTAGCTAATATCGATCATAACAACAAAAACTATGCCTCTGTGATTAAGATAGCTTATTACAAGTATAAAAATAAGGCAGTTACAGCTAAACACCCCAAGAAGACTAATGAAATTTGTCAGTTGCGTACGTACATAGGGAAAAGTATATGCTTGTCAAACATTATACACACATACACACGCATACACTGCTACCTAAAATCTTCAAATGAAATCAATTACTTTCAACCTGTTGTAATAATGAATCCATAATCAGGGGGCAAAGTTTGTTTTTCTGTGACACATGCAAGTTGTCATAGTAACTACTTTTAAATCGTTCAACCAAATAAGATGTTGTAAAATGTGTTGATAATGTGAGATTTATTTACATTCGCTTAAAATATAAATATAATAGATTTAGGGCCTAAAAGCACTGATACAACACTCCACCCAATAAATGAACGAATGCGATAAACACTCCAACAGTCAAGTGTTAAAGATAAAGAATAAGTATCAGTAGTGAAGTTGTTTGCATTCAATTACTCAGATCACGTGTTTCTCTGTGCCAGGCTATGAGCTATACTTACTGTGCGAGGGAGGGGAACTTGAACCTAGGGTTGTTGGAACACCGCCACACGTATTGCAGGCCAACGATCGTTGTGTTTCTTGATATTAGGGCTGCCTTCGATTCGTTGGACAGAAATGTGCTCTAGAACTGTCTGTTAGAGAGGGGTGTACCTGAGAAATTTGTTAACATCTTGAAAGCCCTATACAGAAACACCTCAGGTAGAGTGAGGGCATACAACCAACTATCATCACTGTTCCCAACTAACAGTGGGGTTAGACAGGGTTGCCCAATCTCTCCATTTCTCTTTAACTTTGGCATTCTGGAGTCAGCTCTGAAGGATGTGCGTGAAGGTGGTGTAAATCTGCTACCTGGAGATAGACATTTCGACCTCGAGTATGCAGACGATATCATCTTACTGTGCGATAGCATGCAGGCTGCCCAAATCGCACTTAATCAGTTGGCGATCAGTGTCTGTAAGTATGGTATGTGTTTTGCACCGTCTAAGTGCAAAGTACTGTCACAAGATTGGCAGGAGCCTGTACCTGCACTCACTCTTGCGGGTGAACCGCTTGAAGTTGTTGATAAGTTTGTGTATCTAGGTAGTTGTGTGAGTGCTGGCAGAGGGGTGACGGATGAGATTTCCAACTGTATAATGAAGGCTAGGGTGGCATACATCAACTTGAGCCACCTCTGGCGCCGTCGCGAGGTTAGCCTGGCTGTCAAAGGTCGGGTATACAATGCTTCGGTGTGGGCTGTCTTGCTCTACGCCTGTGAAACCTGGCCTCTCCGAGCTGAGGATGTGCGGCGACTCTGCGTGTTCGATCATCGCTGTCTCCGCAGGATTGCTTGCGTTCGATGGCATCATCGCGTGAGTAATTCTGAGGTTCGGCGGCGTGTGTTTGAACACAGTGGAGATCACCATTCATTGAGTGTCGTCATCTGGAAACACCGGCTCCGGTGGCTTGGACATGTGCTGCGAATGTCATCCCAGAGGCTTCCGTACAGGTCTCTGTTCACTAGCCCTGGGACGGGATGGAAAAGGCGGAGGGGTGGTCAGTCCATGATGTGGCGTCGTGGGATGAAGGATATTTGTGCTAGATTAGCATCGGTTGGTGCGTCACGACTCCCTGGTTGGGGTCCGCGAGATAGCCCGAATCGATGGCTCGAAACGTTATCAGATATGGCCAAGAATCCTAATCAATGGCAAACGTGTTGCAATTTCCTTCTTTCTTCCCTTTCCGACAATAATTGACGAATGATTTTTGAACTTGCTACAAATGACTGTTTTCCTTCCAGATGAAGTTCTTTACCCATTCTCTACTTATATTTTTACTTTTGATCTATGTTGTTTTATTATTATTGTGTGGCGCATCTTTCTTGGTGCTATATTGTACCAAGGTTTTTTATGCGTTTTAAATAAAAAATAAAAAAACAAATGGCTGGAAAGCCAAGTGCTTAAATCAGTAAGTCCTATAAGGAGAACACTAAATAAGAAGCTACTAAAGACATTTATAGCATAAAGTAGCAAAATACATTGGTGACTGTATGTCTAATAAGTCAGTATTTGTTTTAGTGTTTTTTTTTAAATATTTTTGATTACCGCTTCACAATCACTCCTAAAATAGCAATCAACTTTGACAGAAAGATGTGACTAACTGGCTTAAGAGCTGGACTTCCAACCAATTGGTCCAGCTGTTCGAATCCCGCTCCACTCTGTCTCAGTCTGGTCAAGTTCCTAGTATTACATCAGCCCTCAAACAACAAGTATGTGCCCATTCCATAAGAAGTCTATTCCAGCTAAGTGAGAATTAACTCTAATATAGAAATGTATAGAAGTGTAACAGAGGAAATCTAATCAAGATCTCCCCATCCGCTTCCCAACAAATTAAAACACGCACTTAGTTACTCTATACATGTATTTCTATTTGTTAGACTGTACATGTTACCAGACTTGATGTGTAACAGCCTACACTATACTACTAATTATAAGGTATTTTATCTTTAGATAGACAGAACCGAGGTTGAACTAATTTTGAAGTCATGTGATTAAGACAATAAGCTACAACTTAGAATATCAACAAAACAAAACAAAAAAAATAAAATAAAATAACTATTGACAACTTGTGGTAAACAACATTACCTGCAGCTTGTGACGATGTTGCGATACTGCCACCTTTAAATCCACAGGCTACTAAATTCGTCAATTCATTTCTTAGTGTACTGATTTCATCATTCTTTTTGCGTAACTCATATTCAAGCACTATTTTATCATAATAAAAAAATAAAAATAGAGAGAGATAAGTGATTAACTTCTGATTGTTTTTATGCATGCGAAATTTACACAAGCTTCGTTTTTTTTTGTTTATTAAACTACCACCAACCAAACGACAAGGCGTAAATTTTTCTTATGTATATGGGGTTACGCATTGGAAAAAAACTTCAATTTGACAAACATTAACAAACTGAAAGTCAAGCACTGAAGGTAACGGAGTTATGCCTCGACAAAATAACGTGATACCCGACAGTGATTGGCAGATATAAAGAACAGCGACTACGGGGTGCAAATTCACCAATAACCTTGAATGAACGCCATCTGTTGGATTACAGAACCTGCCGTATATATTATATTATTATTGTTTCATTTAATTCCTAGAGGAATATAGGGCTTCAGCCGTGCGTCTCCATTGCGTTCTGTTCTCTGCTAGAGTCTTCACCTGGCTCCAAGTCTGCCCACACGCTTTCATCTCCTCTTCACATGACCTCCTCCAAGTCATCCTTGCACTGACGACCAACTCGCCGCTTCCCTTTCGGGTTCCACTCGAGCGATGGCTTGTCTAGTGATGTCACTTGATGGTTTCCTCAGAGTATGGCCAATCCATCCCGATTTCTTCCTGCCTATTTGTTTCACAATCGGTTCCTGGTTGGTTCGCTCCCAGAGATCCCTGTTGCTGATCTTTTCTGGCCAGCCATCTGATCTTGAGTATTGAGCGAAGACAACTAGCTGTTGATGAAGGTCTGTAGTTTGTTTGAGGTGCTCTTTATGACGCGCAGTGCAAGTCTCTGATCCGTATAGTAGCACTGACTTCACATTGCAGTTGAAAATCCGGATCTTATTTTTGATGCTGAGTGCTGTTGACCTCCACACAGACTTGAGAGTAGTGAAAGCTTGTCTTGCTTTTCCGATTCTTGCTTTGATATCCTCGTCAGTTCCGCCTGTAGTTGAAACGATGCTTCCCAGGTAGGTGGGAAGGTAAAAGAGGTTGTTTCTTTCAGGTTCCTTCCATTTATGCTGATCGTTGTCTATTGTTGTTGTTCTTGTCCAGGAATCTTCATTACCTCTGTTTTCTCTATGTTCACCTGAAATCCTATCTTCTCTGGATGCTTCTTCTGCCAACTTGTTGCTTTTCGCTTGCACATCTTCCAGTTTGTGGGAAATCAGACATATATCATCGGCGAAGTCCAGATCCTCCAAGTTTTTTGTGTGAGCCCATCTTGTGCCTGTTTCCTCATTGCCCGCTGTTTGTCGCATTATCCAGTCTACTGCAATCAGGAAAATCATTGGCGATAGTAGGCAGCCAGTTTGTCTTACTCCTGTCCTCACTTCGAAGGATTGTCGTACAGCTGTTGGATGAGACGTCTATTTGTCAGTGGCACCCAGTAGTAGCGAAGTAGTTTCCAAAGCACCTCTCGATCGACGCTGTCGAAGGCCTTTTCAAAGTCGATGGAGTTGAGATAGAGAGGTGACATATTGAAAAACCGTTTATCTAACAGAAAAATTAACGCAATCATAGTGGGACACATTAAGGATAATATTTTCATAGCTATCAAAACAATTTCATCTACATGAACAACGGAACACTCTCTTCTCATTTATCTATTTACAAGAAAAATACAGATAATTATAATAATAACAAAACACCCCAACTCCAATCTTTACCTTAATCCTTACCTTAACCCTAACCCTAATTCTAGTCCTCATCACATCCGTAACCCTAACGAACTATCAGCTTAATGTCGAAACGGTTCTTAAAAACAAGATCACGATGAAATTCGCGTCCTGATTCGTGCACACAGTTCATACTGGCGATGTAATAACGGCAGGTTCTGTGATCCAACGAACGATATGCGTTCAAGGTGATTGGTGCGTTCACACTCCGTGGTCGCTATTCTTTATGTTGGCCCAGTGATTTCCTCGTAATTTATGACTCACTGACAGTATACAATCACAGTCATATACAACGGAGACTAAAGTTGTCACGTTTCCACATGAATGCTAATCACTAATTAAAACAGATGATTCATCGAAGAGACTCTTTTCAACAAATTTATTATCAAGCTGTACAATCGTATACCTATATATTTATATATGGGATTTTTTTAAAGAAATTATATCCTGTGGAGAGACTGAATGAATCAAAGGTATGAATACATAAAATAATAAAAATAGTAGTATGAAATGCAATTAAAATGTTTGCGATTACAAGCGTAGTTACATGTCAAGTGGCAAACAAATAATGTCATATATAGAATCAGCGATGTTCATCCTGAAATAAATTTTACCGTCTGGATATGTATAAGAATAATCACTTTTCATTAATGAGGAGGAAAAAAAGAACATCCTGTACAAATTTTACGATGTTCATCCTGAAATAAATTTTAACATCGAGAAAGAAAAAGACTCTAGTATTTCATTTTGAGACGTCCTTATGACCGGAAAAGAGGACGGTACAATAAGAAGTGTATATAGAAAACCTACATCAACTGGTCAGTATGCTCATTTTTCAGCTTCGTGCCTTTGAAATACAAACTCAATCGAATAAAGTGCTTGGTAAATAGGGACAGCAATCTGCATTGGTAACTATTCCTTTTAGCTTTTGTTTTAATAATGTTGCAATTTTTTAACGATTCTGTGGATCTCTTCTTTCAGGCATAATTTTTGTAGGCCTTCTATTCTGCTTCTAACTCTGTCCGTTGGAACTGGAGCTCGTAGACGTAGATATTTAGGAATGATTTCGTTTTTAGGCATCGACTGTTGAAAATACGATGATTTTCAAATCTTGCTTCAGTTTGTGAAAGTCGAGTGAGTTTATTGATAAGTCTTCGTACAGGAAGACCATAAGTCATATTAATATATGTGTAAAACTTGGGCACTGTGGTAGTAAGTAATTCCATATTAGTTTGTTTATTAGATATATCACAGAATGAAACAGTATTATTTACTGGATGACGTTTCGAACAAAATTTATTGTTCATAATCATATCAATAACAGCAATCTGCTCTGATGAATATTTTAATGAAGAACTTGATATTATTATACAGTTGCTCAGTGAAAACGGTTATCCAGAAACATTCATTGATAAGAATATGAATCAAAAACCAAGGCAGCCCAAGGTACCAACAGTTCCTTATTCTTACAAATGCAGTTCCTCAGGGATAACACCAGCGAGATATTAACACAACGCCTTAGAAATGCGGTAAAAAGAGCATTCCCTGCTGCTGAATTACGCTGTGTCTTCAAAACCACTCCTCTTTCACGTTCGGGAGTAAAAGATAAACTGTTTAATTTCGCCTCTTCTGTGTGTATCTACCAATTCGACTGTTCCTGTGTAGCCAGTTACATAGGCCGTACAGTTAGGTGTGTTTCTCGTCGGATTTCTGAAAATCACCCTGAGTGGTTAAGCAAAGGACAAACAAAATCTATTCGTAGCGCTATTCTATTTCATCTTGTGGATACAGAACACAAGACTATTAAAGAGGCTTTCAAAGTCATTTACCGCATACCAACAAATCTTAGCTTCACCTTAAGAATTCGTCTACTACATTTTGCTGAGGCTGTTGGGATCTACATTAAGAAATCTAAGTTATGTATCCAAAAGAAGTTGGTTCAGACACTGTCCTTACCTTGGCCATCAAGGTTCTAATGATCCTCAACTTGTTGCGGGAATTTCCTTAATTTTATTTGATATTCTATTTGCTATTATATCTTTATTATTATTATTATAATTTAAGCATCTTTAATGAACTGTAATTCCATTGATCTTACTTAACAAATCGATATTATTTAAAAAACATCAATACTGTTAATGACGACTATTCTAGAATATTCTATGTATATAAACATATATACAAATGCATATATACATATATTTAGTTTTGTACTTCCACAGATATGTACAAATGTAGAACCAGAAGAGGAAATTATCGAAAAGGATATTCTTTGCTCAATTCTCTTTGTTTTTTCTAGATGTCTGAATGAATATTCCCGCTATATAGAATAATTCACAGCTTGACAATAAATTCGTTGAAAAGAGTTTCTTCGCTGAATCACTTCTTTTGATTTTCCATATATCCCAAAAAGGAATTTTCCACCAGTTACTAATTACCCATTGGATAGATTAAAAAAATAGGAGTAAAACTGACACTACCTTTTAATTTTTCTTCTACTGTATTTCCATCATCTGAGATTCGTCCAATATCGGATGAGTCTAAAGACGACAAACTTGGATATTTGCCTAGCGAAACAAAACAGAACAGAAAAATTAAAAATTATACGGATACAATCTACATACACCTACAAACAACAGATGCTTACCCATTAGTAAACTAGGTGATTCTACAGAAGACAGATTATTCAAATTGTCAACAAAATTTGGACTAGTAAAAAATTCATGTAGAATTTTAATATTTTTGCCACGTTCCAATTGTTCAAAATAATATTCCAGTGCAGATAAGTAGAGTTTCTTATCCAATAGATATTCAGCAATTTCTATAGGCTTTCTACTCTCTTCACTTTTTAATGCATTTACATCATTGGAGGTGTTAGCCTGATTAGGATGACCAATTAGACCTGAGGATTGTGGAAACTCTTCCAATTGTACTGACATTGGACACTGTAAATAAAAGAAACAAGATATTACTGAAACTTCTAGAATGATAATTAATCTAAAAAGAAAAACCACTAACTTTATTTTACGACATACTTTATTCGTAACAAAAGAGAAGTTATATGAATGAGTACTATAAGACAATGAAAACTTAGTGACGCTATATTCAGCATTAAGTTCTTCGATTTAAACGTACATATTCTTTGACAGTGTCTGTCTAATAACACATAATTAGGTTTATACGAGCTTGACCACAGATTGATATCAGTTAGAGAAGCATTGAAAACCAGGGAGTACTGGACAGCTGCTGTTTCGTCCTGTTTGGGAATCATCGGCAGTAGCATCACGCTGGCTGGATTCAACATAGAACTTGCACCGAAGTGCAGCAGTTCAGTTGCCAGTTCCAAAACACACAAAGGTAGACAAGAAAATGAGTGAAGAGAATCAATAGAGTTTCGACAAGTATAAGAGTGAAACAGAATGAGTAATGGTAGAAAGGAATATGAAAGATTACAGAGACTGAATACATCTGCGCCATTGACAACGATTTTGAGCCATGTCACCTATTGTCTCCAGCCATTGATTCTTAGAGTCCCGAGGGCTCCAACCCGGAAGTCTGCATCTCCCTACCTGACTCAGTTTAACTGTCAGGGATTTCATGGATTGATGCCATGTTTTTGTTTGGCCACCACTTACTCTTTTCCAACCTGCACTTATATCAGCTAGTAATGCCCGTCGGGGGAGGCGATGGCTAGGCGTGCGCAGCACGTGACCTAGCCATCTCAATCTATGTAACTTTATAGTCTCTTCGATTGATTTTCCCTCTTTGCCCAAAACTCTACGCCTAACGTCAACATTACTTACCTTATTATACCACCTAACGCGAGAAAGAGATCGTAAACATCTGTGGTCAAAAACAGACAATCTCTTCATGTCTTCCGCTCTCAATGGCCACGTCTCACCGCCATAGATAAGGACGGAGCGAACTGCTGAGCAGTACACACGTCCCTTGGTTGGTAGCCGGATGTCACGCCTACGCCAGAGACGGTGTAAGTTAGCGAAAGCAGCCCGAGCTTTTTGGATCCGTGCTGAGATTTCGTCACCAATCAATCCGCTGGTGCATCCACTGGTGTTAGAACTCAGGATCTTCCGGTTACAAGGTGAGCTCGTATACCATTCAGCCACTGGGACCCGATTCAATGGCCCAATCCGTGGTCGAATTCGTATAAACAAATCTAATCCTTATAAACCAAACTCTTGAAAACATAATTAGGTATTAGGAAACAGTTGTGTCATTTCTCTGACAAATACAATTTATACATATCCTCTGAGTTATATTTTAGTATTTATGTGATTCACAATACACCAAAATAAAGCAATTACACGTCTACCTAATACACTGGTATGTGAATGGCGATTTAGTTGAAGACTGTGGAATTTCTTGTCATTCAAGTATTAGTTTAGACACTAAACTTATAACCACACCAATGGAGAACAAGAACAAATCCCTTTTCACCTTAAAAGAAACAACAACTTGTGTCTTCAATTAGCAACATGAGTCTCTCTAATCGATAACAAACTGACTGACATACAAACGTAAAACATGGCACAGGCCTACATCATCAGCTCAACTTTCTACAATTCAAAAAAACAAACCAGAGAAGGATAGAAGAGTGCAAATATAGAATGAGGAAACACGTGCATCTCATACTATTATTATTTGATGCATTCACGTCTCTGCTTAAATTACCTTACGCGGTGCCCATTCAAGCACCATTGATATTTGACTCACTACAATGTTACATTTGACATAAAGTATATTATTTCATGACTAGTTAGCTTGAAGAGAGAGAGGACGGTGAAAGAGAAGATGACTCAGTGAATCATGCTCTTTTCCACGCCAAGTAAAATGCTAAGTCGCATCATCCAGGAGAGAATAAAAGGTGCACTGGATGCAGAACTCCGCCAGCCCAGGACAAGCTGGATTCAGGAAAGGCGAATCCTGTGCTGATCAAATTGCAACTCTACACATCGTTATCACGGAACAAAGCACATAATGGAGTCAAACCTCCACCTTAACTTCATCGCCATCTAAACAGCCTTCGACAGTAATTCGGAAACTACTTCAACACTATGGCGTGAAGTGCCTAAATCTTTATCAACCTCATTCAACAGCTGGCTATATGACAGTGCCACGTGTCAGGTGATCCACAACGGAAGACTCAGCGAGGCATTCGAAGTGAATACAGGAGTGAGACAAGCTGGCTGCCTATTATCACCGATGATATTCTTAATTGTGGTGGACCGGATTATGCGTCAGACTGTTCATGGGAGCGAGGAGACAGGAATACGCTGGACCACTGGTAAGAAGACGCTAGAAGATCTGGATTTCGCAGATCATATACATCTAATGTCACACAAACTCCAAGATTTACAGGCGAAAACCAACAAACTGGCTGGAGAGGCTGGCAGCGAAGACAGGACTCCAAGTGAACATAGAGCAGAAGGAGGTGATGAAGAAAACTAACGAACCGAAACAACAACAACAATCAGCACCAATCATCATCAGCGGGAAAGACTTGACAGAGATTACTTCCTGCTTTCACTTACCTAGGAAGCATCGTTTCAACCGCAGGAATTCGTAACGGATGAAGATGTCAAAGCTAGCCAGCCAGAATTGGAAAGGCGAGATACGCCTTCATTAACCTGAAACCAGTTTGAAAATCTTCAGCATAAGGAACAAGATTCGGATTTTCAACACCGATGTCAAGTCGATTCCTCTATACGGGTCAGAAACTTGCACTGCGTGTCACGAAAAGGATTTCTAACAGATTGCAGACTTTTATCAACAGCTGCTTTTGCTGGCTGTATACTGAACATCAAATGACTGGCCAGAAAGAATTAGTAACAAAAAACTACGGCTGTCAACAAACCAACCAAGAGCCAGTCTCTCAACAAATATATAGGATGAAATGGAGATGGATCGGGCATACACTGAGAGAACCGTCAAATGACATCGGGCTATGGGATGAGTAACCGTAGTATCACTGGATTAAAATGCTGTTTCAAAAATAATAATGGGATAGCTTTTATTTTAAGAATCAACCCATCACAAATTTAGCAGTTCTTGGTAAAAATGTTAGAAAGACAAAAGCGGACGATAAATATGTTTATATTTTAAATCTACGGATTATAGTATTTTCTTTTTCTTATTGGATAGCATTTTGCTAATGGTTCAATACTAAAATGAACCTATAGATCGTTCGAAGGTAAATGTTTCGCTTTTTAGTTAAAAGAATTATGCGGAGGACGAGGGGGTGAATAATTTAGGAGCGAAACAAACGAATCTCAACAACAGCTATGCAACACTTCAGGGCGGAATTTGACTCCACCGATCGAGAGGTATTATGGAAATGTTTAGCAGTGAAAGGAGTGCCAATAAAGTACATCCCACTGATCACGCTACTCGAACTCATGATGCTGTGTAAGAGCTAATGAAGAGTTGTCGTCTGAAGTGATGACAACCACTGGTGTCCGTCAGAGATCCCCACTGTTCCTTTTTCTTTTTAATTTCATTATAGATGTACTAATGAACTTAACCCTAAATGACTTCAGCGACTTGGGGACTGACTTGTTACTAAGGAATAGTCTTGTTGACTTAGAATATGTGGAACAATCTCGTCAATTTAGAGTATCAGGATGATATAGTCCTCCTAGATGAAGATGCTGATAAGATGCAGAGTCTTCTAAGTACCTTGAGCTGCAATCTACGAATGTCTGGCATGCGATTCGCTCCCGCCAAATGTAAGGTGATGCCACGGGACTGGACTGCATCAACTCTTAGCTTAAAGATGGGGAGTGAAGTGGTGGCTGAGCGTGTTGACCACTTCACTTATTTGGGAAGTTGCATCAGTCCCAAAAGGTTGATCGCTGACAAAATCTCATCATGGATACAGAAGGCTCGTGTGGCAGTTTCCAACCTCTGGCACTTCCCGACATAGACATGATATCCAGCTGGTCGAATAAAAAGATGTGTGTACTTCTCAGCAGTTTGTTCCGTCCTCCTTAATGGCTGGAGGTGAGACATGTCCATCGAAAGTAGGAGACATAAAAAGGCCGACTAGCTGTCTTTGATCATAGGTGTCTGCGTTCTATCTCCCATGTTAGGTGGCATAACTGGGTGAGTAGTACTATGATTAGGCATCTAGTGTTAGATAAGGAGGAAAATCTATCACAATTGTGTAGCTACATCTGTTGAGATGGTTAGGACGTGTGTCACGCATTTCTAGCCATCGTCTTCTTCGACGGGCAATGTTAGCTGACATAGGATGGATCAAACTGGAAAAGAGCAAGTGGTGGTCAAACCAAAACATGACATCAGTTAATGAAACCCAAAAAAGTTAGTTTAAGTCACGTAGGAATATGCACACTTCCTGGTTGGGGTCCCCGGGACAGTAAAAACCAGTGGCTGGAAACAACTGGTGATATGGCTCAAAATCGTTCTCAATGCGTAAAGCAGATGCATCCACTCTTTGTGTCTTAAAATATCCAATAAAACTATATGGTTCTTCGATATTACTATTCTTTTTGCCTCATATCTCTTTATTATCTCTGTTTTGTATTTCTTTTTACTTTCTTTTCTTGCTTTGTGTGCTAAGTGAAGTGTGGCGACTCAAACTGCTGCACACCGGTGCAAAGTTCTATGTTGAAACCAGTCAGTCAGTCATTCCACTTACAGTCAATAGGTCCAGAGTTCGGATCACACCCCATTTACATCAGCCTGTGTAGCTGGATGACATCATCAGCCTTCAAAAAATAAGTGTGACTGATAACATCGTACACGAAAAATTCCTCCTGCGCAACTGAGTTCAAACGACAACTTTAATTTTCTCCATCACTATTAAAAGGAATGAACATACACTTCATCAGTGAAAATAGTAGATAGTATCATTTTTCATATTAAATTATTTGAGTAGAAAGTATGCAGTAAAGCTTCATCCGAAAATTTTACCTTTATTTTAACCAAAAACGTTTAGAAGACAATAGCAGGGTATGTAAAATTGTAGAAATCCCCATGGAATTTATAGCATAAGCAACCTTCTAATCATTATGACAGAAAAATGAAATTTCAGTTGTGTGTATAGCCTTGAAATCCTCAGATAAACAATTTAACCCCAACATATTTAGCACCCTGGCTAATAACAACTCATAATCCAACGCACAGTACGGTTATAGAGGAAACCTATCATGTTTGACAAACATCATAGTAAGAGAAATTTACGTCGACAAGAAACTGTCACTCTAAAAGTAGGGAGTGAAGTTGTCTTGCGTGTTGACCACTTCACCTATTTCCGAAGTTGCGTTAAGTCCAATGAACTAATTGCAGACGAAATCTCAGCACAAAAACAAAAGGTTAGTGAGGAATTCACCAACTTACGTCATCCCTCGCGTGGATGTGATAACCGGCTGTCTATTGCAAGACGTTTGTACTGCGCAGCAGTTTGTCCTATCCCTCTTCGTGGCTTTGAGGAATGATTGTTGAAAGTGGAAAACTTGAAGAGGTAAGTTGTCTTTGATCACAGATGTTTGCATTCTCTCTCCTAAGTTAAACGGTATATTATGGTGAGTAATACTTGCGTTAGTCTCAGGGTTAGGTAAGGAAGGAAGACAATAGATTGGGTCGTGAAGGCAAACTGACTGAGATGGCTACAACACATGTTATGTATGTCAAGCCCTAGTCTCCTTCTTTAAGAAATACCAGCAAACATAGGATTAGGTTGGAAAAAAAGTTTGGCGTAGTCAAATCAAAACCCGGCATCAATCCATGAAGTCTATGACAGTTGGTTTGAACCGTCTACATAGGGGCTTTGTAGACTACTTGGGGACCTGAGTGACTGGTTTCAACATAGAACTTTGCACCGATGTGCAGCAGTTAGAGTCATCACTTTTACTTTTTACTTTACTTCGGATATCTCCTACGGGAGGATGAGCCGGCTTCATGAACATCTCGAATCATCGCTGCCCAGGCGCGGCGATCTGATGCAAGGTTTTGCGACAGGGTTATCCAATTCTTGTTCCACAGACGGAGTCCGTAGACGGTTTGTAGCCCCGGGTACTCCATATCAGCCTTGACTGTACCAAGCCATGTTTTCAGCTGTCCACCCCTGCGACATCGCCAAGATGGTAATGACGAGGGATTTAGAACTGATTTGACCAGATCGTCATCTGGTTGGCGCAGAACATGGCCAAACCACCGAAGGCGACGTTGTTGGACCAGTACTGGAATTTGGTTGATGTTGTAGCAACGACGACGCACTTCTTCGTTGGAGAGTTTGTCCTGCCAACGAACATGCAGAATGTACCTGAGGCACCAATGGTCTACTACCTCGAGTCTGCGTACATCTTCCGCGCGAAGAGGCCAGGTTTCACAGCCATACAGGAGAATGTAAGAGAGTTCATGAAGTTTCATGGGAATTTGGTACGAGTGATGTCCCCAGAATCGCTCGGCCTTTTGTTTGAGAGTGCAGCTCTAGCCTTTACACAACCAAGTGTGACCTACAAGGCAGTAGGAGTGGAGTAGGGAGTCCACTATCCATTGGCAGCCGGTGACCGGAGTTCGGTTCATACGCCTTTTTGAATGGGGCCAGACATCCAGGACATCCAACAAGCCCTTTGTCCATACGTCTGCCGGTGAGCTCCAGTGAGCTTCATACGCCAGTCGTTGGAGGTTTGGAATCAGGGTTTAGCCATCTCCCCTAGACTGTCATCCAATGGACAGTCAACCCGGTGAAGAGCGCCGGGCATCCGCTCACACTCCGTGTAGCTTGGGGACCTCGAAACACTAAAGACTAATGGCTAGAGACTGTTGATTATGTGGCTCAAAATTGTTCTGAATGGCACTCTTCTTAATTTCCTAGATTCATTAAATCATGGTGTTTCTTTTCCTCTATAGTTACTAATTGTCCCGTGAATTTCTGCTCATCATCATTCTTTTGAATTTCATTTTTCTTTTGTCTACTTTCGTGTGCTGTATTGAGTGTAGCAACTTGAACTACTGTACTTTTGTATAAAGTTCCACGTTGAAACCCACTCAGTCAGTCATAGCAAGAAACCCACCGACGTTGACGTAGGTGATTTCAGGGAGGCTTTCGACAAAGTGTCTCAAGCAAGATTATTCAAGAAACTGAAAACTTTAGAAACTGTAGGTGGTCTTCCCGTCAGGATCAATTCAAAACTCTTCCTGGACAACCATCTGTAGTAATGGTGAAGATTTGTATCTAAGACGGATGATTCTGATTGAGTTCTGTTCTCTGAGCTGGTTGATTCAATTGCGAAGCTTTTGCTGTCTTTCTAGACATCTTCAACGCTGAAGATGTTCTCTAGAATGACAGTAAAAGTTTCCCAATTAAATCAACCAGCTCGTAGAACACGACTAAATCAAAACCGTCTGTAGTGTACTAAAAGGTACTGTAATATCCTTTACTGAAATCGCCAGTGAATTGTTCACATCTCTAGAGAGATCAAAACTAGAAAACTGTATCCATACGGCAACCCTTGCTTAAAAGAGGAATTATATGCATTGAAAATATTTCAAAGAACATCCACATATATGATTTCTGGCATTACCAAATTATTATTCCGGGAAAGACGTAAAGCATTGAATTTCTTATCCTTATTAAACATGAGATCCAACCACAGTCTTCACAATTTTAGGAAATGACTTCGAATCTCTCCTTTCTTTTCCTTTCCATTAGGTCAAAAAATGAGAGTTCAAAAGCTATGGAGAAAATATATCGCTATGTACTAATGGTTTTACCAACAATTCATTAAATTTTAGAGCCAAATCCTAAGAGAAGTAATCTCTGTGCCATAAACCTATTGTTTAAACAAGGGACTAGACAATAAGTGTTTTAATTAGTAAAGGCTTAAGAGGTTAGGAGAGTTCAACACCTAACTAAAACTATGAAAGACGTGGTCCCCACACATTTTTTTCGAAGATATTTAACGAAAAACGTAATCGCAACAGTGAAAAAAAACTGCAGTTTTATTCACTAAATATAGTTACTGACGTACAAGCAGAAAATACTACAATGAGCATACATAGGACTCCAGGAAATCTGGAGTGTACTTGAAAACTCCTACTGCATCTATTAACACAGACGTTCGCTTTAGGACATCGTCTTCTTCAACATTTCTACAAAGATCATAGAATTCAGGTATGTCTTAGCAGGAAATACGAGAGTTCAAACAATGCTAAGCATTTAAAAAGGTGTAGTTGCGTTTTGTAAGCTCGGAGGTTTACTTGTGAAACTCTCACTGTCTCCCTAGACATCGGAAGTGCAAACTTCAGTAGCTGCATTCTGCATAAATCACATAATCGCATATTAACAACCAATCAATACCAAGATCAAGAGGACACAAGATCATCAATACCATCCACTCCAGCCACATATCGTCTTCAACCTCCCCAAACAGTAATGCATTGGATAAACAAAAAATTCTATTAAACATATTTACTGCTCACCAAAAAGTGATTTTTCTTATGATGAAATCAAAACTTAGTGAAGTAGGAGTTAAAGAATAGCAATACTGGTTGTAAATTAACGACAAAACTTAGATTCTGTTTTTGATTCCGACCTGTATCCTAACCCTGGTCTTAACATTAATAAGAATTGTTAATAGGCGACTATTTTGATGGCGTTAATAGAAGTCACTTCCAATTCTTTGTCAAAAACTGAAGCATGAAAGAGTTTAATTCAATTTCTACCCCATAAAAGACTCTAGATATTTGTATTCACTCTACATAATTGTGTCTAGAAATTACTGTCCCGAAAAGAACAAAAATAAGCCGAATACACTCAACTTGACAACGGACTTACGAAATTAAATGTTACGTCCAGCTGTTTTGCAGTGTAACGCAAGTATGGAAAACAGCTCTGTAAATACACTATGATCAATGCTGCTTTCGCATCTTCATGTTTTTAACAACTGGGTGTTATTAACACTGCATTTTGTGTGCTATTTAAAATAAACTTATCCAATGATAATAACAGCCTACAACATCCGAAGTGCCAACTAGCACGAATACTAGGTCCAAATCTTCGTGCTGACTGCCCCTAAATAGCTAACATCAGCATCTGAAGTTTGTCGGAAATAATTAATTTGTTCACAGATCATCAAATAACTTTGCAGCTTGGGGAGTATTTATAAAAAAAGACCTCTTCTCTGACTTGGGTGCTTTTGATTCACATCTGGGGAAATTTTCCGATAATTGATAAAGCATTGATGTTAATTTATGTTCCACTGCTTGTGCTTTGACTGAAATTGATCTCCACACTCTAATTAATTCACATTTCGACTGTATGATAGTTTCATAGTCTACAAAAGCACTGTAGACAGCAACACTACACGCAATTCTAAAATATATTGACTTGAGTATTTTAATTAGTGGAACAGGTGTTAGGAAATCCGATGATTGAGAATCCCATATCTGAAGACCATTTGTTCTTTTAGTAGGATATCTCATTGGCAAATGTCACTGTCATATAGCTGTTGAGTGAGTTTGAAAAAGATTTCTGGCACGCCACACTATTAGTGTAGTTTCCAAATTACTTCATGGTCAGTACTGTTGAAGGCCCACTAAATATTGATGAAATTGAAATACGGGTTTGACTGAAACTCTATCCTGTGTTTGATGACGATAATGTGTACAGTTGCGATTTGATCAACACACGACTTGCCTCTCCTGAGCCCAGCTTTTTCCGGGCGGATTTCGGAGTCCAGTACATCCTTTATTTTCTCTAGGATAATGCAACCTATTGTTTTGCTCTGCGTGGTCAACAGCATGATTCCACGCCAGTTCTTGCACAAACCGAAGTCACCCATCTTTGGTAGTCTTTCTTCCAGTCGGTGAGTACCATTCCTTCCTCCCAAATATTTAGCGATAATGGTATGAGTATAACTGCCACAGTGTTTGGGTCCGTTTTCAGTGCTTCAGGGTCGGGGGTTCGATCTGGTCCTGCACTCTTCCCGACAAGTGTTCAGTAGCTTGATTGCATTCAGGATTTCTGCTTTCGTTTGAGGATTGGTGTTCACTGGCAGGTAGTTGTGTGCGTGATGAAGGTGGTGTATTTCTGAGCGAGTTATCTGATATAATGCCCTGAGATCTCTTTTGCCTGCGGCTTGTTCTGCTTCAGTTACCAATGTGTCTTAGAATTGTCGTTTGTTTTTTCTAGCACTCTTCTTCACTTCTTTATTTAGTGCAATGTACATTGAACTCAACTTCTCCATCTGTTGCCATCTTTGCTTTCAGTCATCCTCCTCTCCTCTCTTCTATTAGCTTCCAACTAGGTGTCCATTGAGAGCCGCTCCTTGGATTTCCTCCTAGAACGGTTTCACACACTTCCTCGAACATCACCGTCAGAGAGTTTGTTGCAGTATTCTTCCACACAGGTGCCCTATGTGATGCCACGTAGTGTCTCCGACTTTGCTTTGATCTGATCTGTAGTGAAGGTGGGTATCCTTTGTGGTTTTGTCCTTCAGTCTCTGAATGTTGAACTTGAACTCTGGCCTGTCTCCAGTTGTTCTGAAGGATTTCAGCTTCACATTTAAGGTTCCTTGTACTGAATGATGGTCTGAGTCCACATCTGCCCCCCTTCTCAGCTTTGCGTCCAGCACACTGGTTGCGTCTCCCTGAGCAATATTGAAATGAAATCTGTTTGGTATGTGGTGTGTCCGTCAGGCATAATGAATGTCGCTGGCCTTGTGTATATCCTTGTGCTTGTACACGTCTCCAATCACCAAATCGCTGAAAGCTCGGAAGTCTGAGAATAATTCTCCGTTCTCATTCATTTCGCCAGATGAGAGCTTCTGGACCCATTATGAGTTCTCATCCTGTATTATATACCCTAAATTTGGCTTTAACGTTGCATATAAGGATTTTGATGTCGCCATTCGGGATATTATCCATTGCTGTTTATTGTTGTCTATAAAAATCTTCCTTCTCTTGTTCCGCATTGTTTGTAGGTGTGTAGACTTGGCCGCCATGAAAGCCATTCACTCGGTACACTCGCTGTTGTCGTCTGGGTGACCGGAGTAGACTACTCACTCTCCATTTGACAATGCTGATATTCCACATCCATTCCACCAGCTCACGCAAATTCCTAGCACATCGACGCCATATTTTCTCATTTCTTTGGGTACCTAGGCAGCCTTCTTAGCTTCATACATTGAGCGATCATTCCACGTCCCCATTATTATTTCTGCTTTGATCGGAAGAATGCACGCTGGCTGACTGGCTTCCCGAAGGTTTTCACCTAACTGCGCCATTTCACCTCTCCGATTTTAGAGAAGAATATGTCTGATTTGCATATATTTTGTATTTTCAATATTTTTCTTGTGCGTTGAAGTTTCTGCAGTAAAAAATATATATAGTTTCAATAATTTTTCCAAATAGGGTCGCTAGTCACACTCTCAAACCTTTCTCTTTACCCGGTCTTGGGACCGACTAGGAAACTAGGGAGCTAGTAAACACGGTGAGGCTATTGTAGGCTGTTGGCGTACCATAATGTTATATCATTCGACGGTCAAAATCCTTGTTTAGTATAGGGCTCGTCAGCAAGAAACATTTGCACTCGCTCCTCGGGCATCATTTTTAGCTGGATCACTGGTTGCCAAGATGCCTTCATTTCCGCCTCAAGCGACTTTCATGTTGCCTCCCTGCCCATGTCCAAATTATTACTTTACTTTTCGGTTTCCACTCAACAACATGCCGTGTGATGTCGCTTCAAGGCTCCCGCAGTGTATTTTCACTCCGTTTTCTTTTTTACGCCCATATCTTGAGTTGGGAACTCTCAGCACAACCGCTGGCTGAGTCCCTCATCATTTTTTATTTTCTGGTGGTCATCCGGTCTTCATTATTCGGACGCTGACGGAAGTAACTGATGAAAGCCTTTAGTATCGTGCCTTATAAGCCCCACATGTTAAGTATCTGAACAACACGTTAAACAGAAACTAGTATTAGTATCTTGTTACTTTGCGTACAGTACTGCCTACCTCCACACTTGTTTCAGAATACTGAATACCTGTCATGCCTTTCAGATCTGATATTGGCTTAGTTCGCCTTCCTCATCCACCTTGCCTGTAGGTAGAACGACCCTGTAGCCGAGGTCATCCAAACGGACGATTTCCTTCACATGGCTCCGGGTATTAGTCATTAGTGTTTGTTATTATGGGTCAGGTAAGTTCATAACCTATGCTTGCTTTGTTTACTTGAAGTCCTGTCTTTGTCGCTGCTTCTAACATCTTATTCGACTTTGTCTGCGCATCTTCGATTTCGTGAGACATCAGGCACGAATAATCCGCGAAAATGAAAATTTCTATGGCTGTCTCGTGGATCCAGTGTATGCCTTTCCTCTTACTACTCACTGTGGGCCACACGATCCAGTATACCATATTCAGATATAATTATCTTACGCCTGTCTTTCTACCAAACGCTTCAATGGGCTATCCGTTGCAAGTATCTTGGTGTATGGTATCACTATAAAGCTAATGAACCGGGTTTATTTGCATGTGTGCTCCGTACATCACTCCATAGAGTTAAAGCAGTTGTCAAATTACTTCATGGAGGTTGCTGCTGAAAATCACTTCCGAAGACAACGAAGTTGAGGTGCAGAATTGATCACTGTTTCACACTACCTCATTTGTTAACGGATAGTGCTTCAACTTGGATCAAACGTGACTTGTTCTCCCTGTTCTGGTTGAATTCAACGGTTCAAGGCACCTTTCAGTGTTTGTGGCATGATAAGGATCTTTTTTACCTAGTGTTTACAAAAGCAGGATGTCTCGCCAGTTCTTCCACAGACCCAAGTTTTATTTGGCAGTTTGGCTAGACAACCGTTCTTCATAAATACAGGTACCTACCTTCACTTTTTGGCATCATCACATCTGGTGTGCAGTTACTAAACCCCAATTAGATGGCATGCCTTTAAAGTTTTTTAATTCCTTTATATGGAAACGTGTTATTATTAATCAATTTCATCCACTTACTCCTCTTAAATATATATTTCTTCTGATTACGCGGCTTTTCTCATTTCTTATGGTCATCAGTTTGGACGCCCATTTGCATTATGGTAGCGTAAAACTGGCTACTAGTTAAGAGGAGAATTGTTATATGGGCGTGACTGCTTAGAAACGTGAGCATAAAGAAGTGAAATTGGGTTACAGAAAGAAACTACCCAGAATTTTTTATTCGAAAACCAAGAAAGCAAAGTTAAAAGTAAGGTCACCATAGTAATTAAACGTAATTAAACCAGTGAGGGGCCAGCGGATTGGTAAATACACACCGAATCTGGAAGTTGTTGGATTTTTTCACCCAAATTTTGGTGACTTAGGGCATACACAGAGAGTACAAGGGGTAAACGCGCAGTAAAGGAAGTTTATATAATTGCACATGACGGACAGTGTCGAAGGTCCTCAATGATAGAATCTCTCTTGAACTTTCCTGATTTATTACTGGTTTATTCGGTACTTCCATGTTTTATGGTGCAATGCGCAAAAAACCGAAAAGGGAATACAATAGTTATTGCTGTTCAATGACGATATGAAAAGAGTAAAGAGATGCGCAATCACATCTAGGAGCGGCAGCCTATCTTTCGTCCTTTAATAGTCCAATTGTTCTTAATCCGATTAGCTCAGCAAAGATAGACAACCTGGCATTTATAAGAGAAATAACTGAGATTCCATTGAAAGCACGAATTTCTTTAATACCCTGCCCCACTATAAATTTCAAATAGGCGATGGTCAAATAGGTACTTATTTCGCTAATTACATAGTAAGTTATAGGTTTCTCCCTTAGCTGTTATTATATCAAATAGAATGTGAGCCAAATAGGGTATTTTTGTATTGTCACACTTAGCTGTACGAGCACATAACCTTT